AGTTATGTTGGAAAACCTAACAAGAAAATGGGTCCTACTATTATTAACCTTGCTGCGTGGCCTATGACTTGGGCCTTTCTGGGCCTCCATCTCTTCTACTGATAAAGAATAAGGAGGTTGGACTAAATGTGAACAGGAAAGATTGATGAGTGGGCGGGCGTGAATGGTTCCGCAGCCCTTCTCTCTTCCTCCCTCCCTTTCTCTCTCCCTTCCTCCCCTCCCACGACATGTTCTCTCTCGATGAGATAGATTTGTAGTATCCCGTTCCCAGCCAAGAGACTCACAAAAGGTTGTTCGGGAATTTTCAGATTTTCCATTCTCACTTCTAAGTCCCTGAAGTGCCTGAGTTTAGGAACCTGTACCTGGTACACTCTCCACCCTGCTCTGACCTGCCTTTTGTCTTGGAAGTCATCGTCTATGGAGTAATATAATCAGGACACCCTCACCCTCTGTGTTTGACTGGGCTTGGCCAAGGGGAGGTGCTGGCAGGAGACCAGAGGCTGCAGGAGAGAGAGGGGGGAGTGAGACTCTCCCAGTACTGCTCTCTGTCCTCTGCTCTGTGTTCCCAGCGGTGGTGGCAGCAGGGATAGCTCCCCTTGGGTGGCCCTTTTACCTAACTCCCACTCTCCCTGGTTATCATCACAGAGTTCCTGCCCCCCACCCCCACCCCTGCCTTGCACCTCTCTAAACAGTCTTTCCACTTAACCCCTTGGATGTGACTTCTCTTTCCTGCCATAGCCAACTGACTTGACTTTCGGAATTAGAATTCTAAACCATCCCAGCTATGGAAATATTCATCTGGAAGAGCTAGAGGAAGTTCTAACGAGACAGAGCAAAAGTCCCTTCTCTGCTCTGGGCGCACACACCCTCCCTGATTCTCAGAGCAAATGAGTAAGTGGAAGGTCGTTTAATGGCCTGTAACCAGGTGACGTGTTTTACCAAACACTATTTTGTTACTCACCATCATTATCTATATTTGTGTATATATGCTGCATTCTCTTACCATCTATATCATTTTTGGTTGACAAACTCCCAAATTCCCTCTCTTTTATTCATGCATAACACAGGAATGATTCACAAGTGGGAAAGTCAGCAGGCTCCTTCTACCTCTGCATCCTCATCTGTAAAAAGAGGATAATAACACCAACAACCTCACAAGGCTGGTGTGAGGATTAAATGAGTAACATCTGTAAGTGCTTAGCGCAGCAGGTGCAAAGTGTTAGCTAATACTACTACTATTCTCGCTCATCTGATTTGCACTGGCTCACTTTTCTGTAACTTGTAGGAAGGGAAACAGGGCACCTGGATAGGAGTCTACCCAAGTCTCCCCCTCTCAGTGCTTTCCAAGTATCTCTTCCCCATCCATACCCTTTCCTGAGTAGATTTCCAACTCTGCCACCTTTCCACCCAGGAAGCTCCTAGAAGGGCAAGCAGGGCAAACTGACTCTCACGTTATGGAGACTTGTGCTTTTCAAATAGTGGCCAGGGGAGCGCTGGGGTTCCTAAGATGCCCCCTAGGCCACAGAAACTGGGTACCACTCCAGGTCACATCCTCCAGCTTGTTTTGTCTGTTTACACTTCCTTTCAAAGTTTTCATTTGCAAAAGTCTTCTAAATTGGAAATTCCTGCGCTCAGATATTGATGGCCCAGAGATTACAACTCCCAGTTCTAAATTCTTTGGCCCCATTGCCAAGAAACACTCTCTACTCTATTCAAGTAGTTTGTATTCTTTTCCAGATCTGGTGGTCTGAAACAGAAACAGGAACAAGCAAGTCTTTGTAAACTTATCGAGGGTGTCTTTCCCAAGCTCAGCACATTCAGCAGACATTGTCATCTTGATTCCCAGGCCCCGAGGGAAGATACCTACAACACAGTTTAACAAGAGAGACATTTGAAAGCACCTGAATTTTATTGGCACCCTGTAAGGATGCTGGGGTACTTCCAACCACTAAAATCCAAGTTTACGAGGAGACCACTGTGGGGCCTCAGCCACAAGCTTGCCAGGTCCTCACTGGCGGCACACAAGAAAATAGGTCATGAAGCCCATATGTGGGAAGCAGGAACAAGTCTTTATTGTGAGGTGCCAGGAGATACACAGGTGGCAACAGCAGCAGCCCCTTAGCACTTTGGCTTGTGTCCTGGGGGAAGCCAGCGAGTGGCTCCCCTGCACAGTCCTATTAGCTTTAGACAAAGGTGGCACAGGGCCGAGTTTAAGCCTGGTTTACAGAAGTATGTTTTGTGTATGCGAGCTTCACACCAAGGTTTACACTATTACTGCGTTCCATACATGTGGACCACATCTCAAGGCTCTAGGCTCTCTGCTAGGCCACCTGTGTTGGAAGTCACGGTGAAAAAAGTCTGAGAAACTGAGAAAACTCTATTTTTCAATGTCTGGACATCCACCTATCATGAGGTCCCCACACCACAGCTGTCTCCGCAGGTGAGGAAAGTGTGGTTGCAGAGTGTAGATGGCCATTAACAGGATTTTTTCTGCCCTCCCACCATTAGCATCAGTGATCGACACCTGTGGTTTTACATTTGCGCCTGATGGAGGCACCTGGAGCGTGGCGTGGGCACACCTGAGCAGGGACTGAGCATAAAAGGGCAGCAGCAGAGGATGGGTGTGGGTAGAGGCCATGTGGTGAATTCAGTAGAGACCAGTGGACAGACCACAAGAGAGTCCAGGTGGCTCAGAGAGCATAAAGATTTGCCAGGGACTAGGAGACCCGCCAGCCTCCGGCCCCCGGACCTCCCTGCCCTGCCCCAGTGGCCTCACCACAGATGGTGTAGAAAGATCATTAAAAGCCTGAAAACGCCACTGTGGGCCCCGGGACTCTGCTTCCCCATCTGCCTGGACCACAGAGAACCTGCTCTATGCCTTGCTGGCGCGACACAGAGTTTGTACAGAGGCTGATTCCCAAGGAGGATTAGCCAGAAACAGCAATTGGCGGGAGTAGTTACTTTCAACAAAGCACGCAGCTCAGAACTTGGGGCACAGAGAACATGAATACACAAAAGGAACCAAGACCCCAACCTCTACATTTCTGCCTGGGATGCTTTCATCCGAGGCTGCCGCATGGCGTTCTCTCAGACTTCATTTGGGTCTTTGGCTTAAATGTTATTTTCTTACAAGCGCCTTAGACGGAGGGCAAGAGGTGCCCCGCCTTGGACTCTAAGCTCTCTGCACTGTCCAGCCTCTTCCCACCGAGCAGGAAGCCTGTGGGCCAAGGGGATGCCACCCAAAGGTCCTGCTCCTCACCCATTCATACATCATATTGTGGGTCCTGGAGAATCTAGAACTGCATCGATCTTTTTCTTAATAATATAATAGTTTATTTTTACATCATTTTGTGACTTTTTCCATCTCAGTTGTAATCCCTTGGGCTTCCCTTTCACTAAATCATCCATGTGCCATGATCACAGTAGGAGCAGGAATTTGCAGTGTAGATGAAGCTCAGCTTCTGGGGTGCTGATGTTACAGGTGTGGGCACAGTGTCTTCTGAGGTATCGATGGAGTTATGAGGAAAGCTGAGGGCCAGGTATCTGTCACCCCTTAAAGTACCCTATTCCACTGCACACCCAGGAATTCTAAATTTAAACTTGGTGTTCCAGATCATTATGAAAGTATATTTATTAAGATAAAAGGCAAAGAATTTTATATTGTAGTTTAACTTGGTTTATGCCAAATTCTAAACATATCGATGTGTATGACATCTAGGCCTCCTTTTGTACTATTGACCCAGTTATGAATGTCAGGGGTGGGTCCATCCCTGATCACCCTGAAATACCACTTCCTCTGTCACTCACTCTCTTCTTACACCATTGCCTGTTTCTTCAAGGCATTTGTCACCATTTGATAGACATTTGCTTGTGTATTCTCTCTCTATCCTTATCCTCATTAGAATGTAAGTTCCACAACCACCTCTGGTGGATACCTAATAAGGCTTACTGCCTTAGTCTCAGTACTGCCAGGCAGTGTCAGGGTCAAGAATCCATTTAATGAGTGTTGAATGAACATCTAGACAGGGGTCTCAGGTGGCTTACATGGTGAGGTGTGCTGGAAAAGATCACTGTGACAACCTTCTGGAGGAGAGCACCTTCTCTTAAAATAACCCACAGGATACAAACTTCAGAACTGATTAGAGAAAATTAACCATGAAGGCTTCAATCAGGACTACAAGATTAGTTAGCAGGTTACTTGTGAGAGGGACATTTGAGCATGGAGTTGAGTGCAGTTTGTAGAGTTAGGCATGGGGGAATCTATGTCACTGGGAGCCCCAAGTGAAGGTGTCACCTTAACTCCTGGTTGACCAGAACAGACCTAAATGCTGAGGAAATCCTGATTCCACAGCAATGACTGTGTCAACCCACCCCACCTATAGAGAAAACTTCTCAAACAAAGTCCTCAAGCAGTTTCCCTTAGCTGGCCCTGGGGGGACGAGGCAAGGTCATGGTCACTTCTGATCATTGTGGTTGATCTGTGGGAGTAACAGACTGAGAGATAGTGTTACTACGTTACCTTTTCCTCTACTCTCCCACCTGCCAGCTAATTAACAGACTTCTTGCTTGGTGGAGATCCCCAGAAGTTTCCTGGAGAGGCGTAAATCTGTCCTATCTATTTGGACAAACACCTTTTCCATTGGCTAGGAGGCTGTGAGATGTCAAACGACCTTCCGGAGCCCCCCTCAGCCACCGGAACCCGAGTCTAGGACTTTGGGTCTCTATCCGGCAGATGCCCCATTCCTTTCATTGGGGGTTGAGGGGGGTCTACGGTCTGCGCTGCACTTCCCCCTTCTGAGGCCTGAGGCCTAAGGCCGGATCCAGGCTTGCGCAGCGCCGAAGCCACCGCAGACCGCGAAGGGGGCGCTCACAGAGGACCAAGGTGACTGCGCCCCACTCCAGCCCCGCGAGCCGGGGGCGGGGCCGGGCTGGACAGAAGGGGGCGGGGCGGGGCGGGGCCTCGCGGCTCCTCCTCGAAGCCGGGGAGGAGGTGCCGCCGAGCAGCCAGACACCAACACGGCCCGAACTTGTGTGCGGTGGTGGGTGCCACCGCCGAGGATGGGGAGGTGCGTCCGCTGCTCTGGACCGCAGTTGCCGCTGCTGCTGCTTCTGCTGCTGGCGGTGCCGGGCGCTGGCGCGGCCCCGCGCTCGGCGCTCTACTCGGCCGCCGACCCGCTGACGCTGCTGCAGGCGGACACGATTCACCAGGCGGTCCTGGGCTCCCGTAGTGCCTGGGCCGTAGAGTTCTTCGCCTCCTGGTGCGGCCACTGCATCGCCTTCGCCCCGACGTGGAAGGCTCTGGCCAACGATGTCAAAGGTGAGAAGTGGGGGACAACGTGGAGATCTGCTCCGTCCGCCCGCTCCGGCGACCCCTCCCGGGTGCCCCGCGGAAGGCCCCTCCCCTCGGACCCGCTTCCCCCGGACCTGCCCTCACCTCTTCCGCTCGGCTCTCTGCACACCCGCCAGCTTCAGATCCCTCCACTGCATTTTGGTTCCTGCTCCTCCCTGTCTCTCTCCTTTGGCTGGATACGCGAGCTCCGAGCGCCCCTTGCGCCCGGGCCCCCAGCCCTGCCCTGCTCTCCCTCTTCGTCCTCTGCCGGCTTCTTGGCCCCCCCCCCCACCCCACCCCTGCCAGCGGGTCTTCTTTTGCCCTCCTTTTGCTCCACTGACATCTGACTGCTGCTTCTAGTCCAGCCTGTGTCATCTCCTTCCTCTCACCTAGGGATTGTCTTTGCCGAGCTCCCCAGTAGCTGTGGGATAGGCGCTGGGGAGAAGAGGAACTGACACCTCTTCCGCCACGCGGGACCCACTTTTCCCCTACGCCGTTGCTGGTAGACCCATCTGCTACTTGAAATTCCTATCTCAGTTTTACCTTTGAGGCAGTTTCTTGTCTGGTTCAGGCCTCTCGTGACCTGCTGCCTCCAGCTTGTTAACTTCTGGGCCTTCCCTCCCTCTCTCTGTGCTGTTCATGAACCCTCGGCAGACCTTTGTTTAACCTTATAAGCCCAAAAGCCTGACCCCAAAATAGCGTCTTGGTAGCCTTTGGTCTTTGCTCCAAGTTTTCATCCTCTGCCCTGACTGATACCGTATTTTCTGGAGTCTAAGAGACCATCAATTATGAGCTGTACCATTCATTTAATAACAGTTGAGGGAGTAAAGGGGTAAAGAGACCAGCGAAGGTGTACTCTATGAGCGAAATATTAGCCTTGAAACAACAAAAACAAAAACAACTTAAGACAGAGGTGAGAAAATAAGGAAAAATAGTAATTAATGTTTACCAAGTGCTTACTGTATGTCAATTTACTGTAGCTCTCAGAGTTTCCTTTCCACACTGTAAAGTTCTCTGTGGTGTCACATACATGCTTAAGGCAGATCGTGGGTCTAGGGGAGCAGGCAGGGGTACTGTGGTACCCACGAACCTCCTACCTTCCCATGAGGGCCCCTAAAGCGAAATGGTTACTGAAAGAGCACTGTGGGCTTCGCAGGGAATAGGCCTTTTTCTGGAGAGAGGAAAACTGGAACCATTGTTTCCTTACCACTGGTATATCTGCATAAACTCAATTGTTTGGGTAAAAGAGCACATTTGTAGATACTAGTTTTCAAACTCAGGCTACCTCTTTCTTACCTCTTGAACAGCTTGCAAAGTGGCTTCTGAAATGCACGGAAAGATGGCAACATCTCTTAGCCATAAGGTGTTGGAAAGTTATTTTTAAACAGAACTATTAAGCCATTTTACATACAGACATTTGTCTCAATGCCTCTCTGGCTTGCCAGAATGTGCCACTTCTCAGCAGTTCAACACACTCTTTCAGTGCTGTCAGCACATCTAGGCAGGAGGAAGAATCTTGACTGTAGAATTGAGACCCTTAAGGGCACATTTAGTGTTTAGGAGACCTGGTGGGGTTGAACATCATAAAAATTCCTAGGTCAGTTTCCATTTTGAGTCTATAAAAGGTCTTTAATGACTACTAATGGATTCATCTAGAAGATTCTTATACCTTAAGAGTACTGGAGGGAAAGATAGTTCCAGCTGTGTTTGGCCTTCTGCAACTGAAATTTTCCTGTGAATTACAAAATCAGATACTAACCAGCCCATTCCTGGATGCAGATGTCACTTCCAAAGGGGTCACTTCCCTAGTACACAGAATGACAATTAAAAAAAAAAAAAAACGCAATTGCAAACTTCAACCTTAGAAAGGAACATGGAAGCATCAGAGAACTGAGGTCGAAACCAGTGATATCTGTGAGCTGTGGGGGTGAGTTAGTCCCCTGAGCAAGGTCTGGTCTGGTATTGGCTTGTAATGGTGACGAATGCCCCACTCGCCCCCAAGAGGGACATTTACTGTTCAGACTGGGAAGTCAGGGTTGCTCTTATTATCTCTGAGTTCTGAGGTTTCCTGAGAAAGTTTTGTTGTGGGCCAGTAGAGGGCTGCGGTCACACCACTCCAGGCCAGTAGTAGCCCCTGCGCTCTGTGCTCTTCTACCTGTGGTAGGCACAGCAGGAGGGCCAGAGAAGACTGGCCGCCCTGCCAGCTGGCCTCAAGCACTTCATCTGACTGGCTGGGGCTTATTTCCTCAGTGGCTTGTGGAGTGGATCTCTGGGCAGTTGGTACACAGGTCAGAGCATGTGTTTTGAAATGATCTGGTTGTTTCTGGTCAAGCTTCTCTCCTCACCTCACCAGACATCGGGAAATCGATTGTGTTCATCTCAGACCTTCATTACTCTTTACTGGCTAATCAATCAGCAAATATTTGTTCAGTGACCTCTGTGTGCAGAGCATTGTTTGCACTGCAGTTGGGAAAAAGAGCTACACACCACAGGAAAATTGACAACAGCAAGAAGCTGTGTTTGTAAAAGGCCAAAGGAGTGGTTCATATCTTGTTGTAGGAATTCAGGGAAGGGGAAAGTCACAGAGGGCTGATGTAGCCACCCAAGGCCTTCATTCAAGCAGCTATTTATCACACACTTGCCTTTGCCAAGCACTTTGCTAAGAGCCATTATTACATTTAATCTTTATGAGAAAACAACTGAGCAATAGATACTTTTTCTTTTTTACAGGTAAGTAACTTGCCAGGATGACACTGATGCTGGAAGAGACCCAGCTCTTTCTGACTGTCAGAGCGTAGAAAGGTGGAAAAGGGTCAAGGAGGCAGGGCCCTCCAGTTGGCCTTTGAAAGCCATGGAGGTGAGATTTGTAGGGCATGGATGCTTGAGTGACAGTGAGCAGTGTTGATTCCCTTTTTCTGGTTCAGGATAGGAGCCCACTGAACACTCATGGAGGCCAGAGACATGAGCCTCATGGAGTTCCAGACGAGAATGTGAGTGATGGAGTCTTCTTCCGGCGGTGTGGCTCTTCCTGACTCAGGCCCTGGGTGTCTGAGACGCAAGGGCCAGGATAGGCATTTTGTCTACCCTATGACCTCACTGCCCTGAAGCTTGCAACAAGAAAGATGGTGATGAGTGCAAAGCTCTGACTGGAGGCCACTCTGGGAGGCCGGGCTGGGAGTCCAGGTCAGACCACCAGATCTGACTGGCTCTTGGTTGTTTGGGTGGGTCTGGCCTCTGCCTCAATAAAGACAGACCCAGGGTTCTTAAACTCTCAGAGGCCTCATGCCCTGTTTTCGAGTAAGATTTGTTTGTCATTTCCTACCACGGGGTTGTTCAACCTGGAAAAAGCATGGGAGGCCATCCCTCATGACCCCATCTGACTTGTGAGGAAACTGAGGCTGAGATATGACAAGGGACTCATAGCACTTTGGCCTGTTATTACTATTAAGCAAGTCTTGTGACTCTGGGGCCAGTGCCCTTCCCGGACTTGTGAGGAGCACAAGTGACTCCAGAAGGAGCCTCACCCCCCCATCAGCCCACCCCCCCATCACTCCCCGATCCTGATCACCCAAAGTCCGTGGCTGTTCTGATAGGCTTGTCCCTACCATCCTCTCTCTTCTTGCTCAGCAACTCTATTGTTAGTAGTGAAATTACTTTGCAAAGGCAATAATTGTACCAGGAAATTTTTTTCTCCCCTCCCCTAGTAGGCTAGGCTGATAACTGCTGACCCTTTTGGTGTCAGGTTTTTAGTCACCTGCTACTTTGATAAGCCTCTGTCTGCTACTTTGATAAGCCTCTGTGAAGCAGTGAGCTTTACTTTAATGCAGCTTTACTCTCCCAGTGGGGACTTCTGTTCTTGTGCTGTTTCTTGAGTGAGGACATGTCAGGCCCACAGTGATGGTGTCAGACCAGATCTTTATATGTCTGTGTGGTTCATTACAGTACTGACATTGATATTCCTGAGAAACATTCCTTAGCGGGGACTCCCAGCATCTGACTGGCCCCAACTTCCCCTTGCCTCCCCTCCCTGTGGCCGGGGCAGGTAAGAAAAGGCCGAGTTCCATTTCACAGAGGTACAGAGAGGCAAGACATAAAGAGAAGGAATTAGAGACCACCCAGGAGCAAGGTGCTGAGAAGTCCCAGGCATGGCCTGTCCCCTTGGCCTCCCTATTACGCCCCCTCCACTGAGTCTCCTGGTTGGGAAGCAGAGCAGCTCTCTGTTCCACACCACCCTACCACGCCCTCTTGAGACCAGCAGAGAGTATCAGATTCAGGGTTCAGATCCCAGGCTCAGTATTGATTAGTGTGTGCCTTGGCCAAGGGTATTTGATCTCTATCTTACAGGAAAGCAGGCCTGGAGATAGACAGCATCTTAACTACTCATAGAGCTCCCCATAGAACAGTTGCCAGCATTGACTGACAAATCAGGCACACAATAAGCTCATCAAAGTAAGAGCTGAGTGCATGCTATAGACTGACTGTTGGGAGTTACAGAACACAGTGTTTAACCAGAGATGATTGCTCTCTGAAAGGTTGTCATTGGAGCAAACAGCAAAAATAATTAAGAAAAGAAAATGAAAAGTGGAAAGGTAGTAGCCTGATATAGAGGCAAAAAAAAGTGAGTTTGAGTCTGGAAGCTCTTAAACAAATGGGCAACTTCTCATCTCCACCCTCATTTGCACGTGGAAGAAATGAGGCCCAGCGCCCATGGTGGTGGGAGGAGAACCATCCAGACAGATGTTGGCTTTCTGTTCTGTGCCCTCCTCATCCCTCCAGAGTCTTCGGGACCTGGCAGGTGGCAGACACGCATGTGCCCTGAGGGAAGGAGGCCTCTCCCCTGGGAGGAGAAGAGCAGTGGAGGCCTGTGCGACTTGGTCACCTGCCAAGTGGCCCTTGCTGGCAGAAGGCCACAGCTGTCTCTCTTTCCTCTTCTGTCTAATTGACAGTGGGCTCTCTTCTAGAACAGGCGACTGGAGCCCTACATCTAAAACAGAAGGCTCCAGGTTCCCAGTCCACCAGCCGGCCTTAGGGGCTGGCCTGAGCTTTTCACCCTCCCTGGGCCTCCTGTGGATGGGAGGCGCCATGATTGGAGGCCTCTGTGCTGATGCCCCTGACCCAGGGCAAAGCTGTGTACCTGAGCAGGTCTCCTCTCCTGCATTCTCAGGCGAATGACACTAACCTCTCCCGTACCTGTACCCCGGGAGAGACTGAGGCGGGGCAGTGGAGTTTGTGAGGGCCAGCCCTTTGCCTGGGTCCATTGTGCCATTCAGAGACAGCCCCTGAGCACCTATTGTGTGCTGGATAACACGGAAGCTTCGGTGAGAATGCAAAGGCAGAATGATACTTTGGACTGGACGGGCCTGTAACCATGTAGTAGAGAAATGAACTGAGTTCTGAGCTTGGGTTTGCAAGTTAGCCTGGAATAGCTCAAACTGAGTCAGGTCTGAAAAGGGCATTTGTTGGGAAGTAAGGGTGTGTGGGGGATGGGGAAGGACAGGGGTTTAGTGAGAGAGCGCTGTGCTTTCAGCATCTCTGAGATGCTTAATTTGGGGGAGTGGGAAGAGGACCCTGGATAGATGGACAGAGGTCTTATGGCTACAGGTTGTCTTCTGACAGCAGTGGGGACCACCAAAGAATACTGAGTAGCAACCAGCCTAACTAATCTGTGAACCATAGATTCATAGATAGAAACAGTTGCTGATGGCCAGGACAGCTGGTGAGAGTGCAGCATATAAAATCTTGGCCAGGAGGGAAACAGGTTCATCTGAAGAGGAGCTGCCCAGGAACCTCAGCTCTAGCTCGCTAGCTCTGGAGGGGAAGTGAGAAGAGAGATGAATAAAGAACCCAGACTGGGGGAAGAGACATGGGGTCAGAAAGGGAGAGACTTTAGGGCCGCCTTGGTGGTGCAGGTGGTTAAAGCACAGCACTATGAAGCTCTCCACAGCCACTGCAGCAAGAGTTCAAACCCAGCCAGGGAGGTGACCCACATGGTGCAGCAGACCTCTTCTGTCTCACCCACTGCTCCCCTCAGCAGTGTGTTTCAGTAGATCTGCCTGTCCTGCTCCCCACTCTGTCTCTGGTGAATCCTCTCATCCGCACACCTCTGATCTGTATCCCAGTTCTTGTATGCATAAATAAATAAATTTTTTTTAAAAGAGGGAGAGACTTCAGAGAGAGAGCGATCTGGAGGGTAGATGGGATTTTGGGTAAGAACCCATGTGAGTGGGTTCTGCCAGACTCTGCCCTCCCAAGGGTGCTAAGAGTGGGGCAGGACAGTGTTTCGGAGGACAGGGACAGGGATGTTGGCCTGAGCCTGGCTGGAGCAGACCCTGACCACAGCTGCTCTGCAAGTGTGATGTGAAGCCACAGGGTGCAAACCAGAATGCAGACATTTGGATAAGCTTAACCTGCTGCCCTAATGTGCCAGGAGAGGCCAGAGAGTACCCCCCAAAGGGGGTTGGCAAGATGTGGCTCTTCCTCTGTGGAGTGAATGGCATGATAGAATTTGCTTATCTGTCTATGCTCAACACTTCCATCTAACCTCCTCCCATCCCCCCCACACACTCACACCACCTGTGCTCACTCCCTCCTGCCAGGATTCCGAAAGCTTCCATGCCAAGAGTGATAAAGGAAAGGAGGAGGAGGGAAGATGAGGGAGTGGGTATTGCCTCAGGTCTGCCTCGTAGTCCAAGATGCTCCTCCCATGTCACCTCAAGAAGGGCCAGCTTAGTTGCTTTGGGCTTTCAGAGGCTGTCTTTTGAAGGATGGGTCAGGGACTGTCTGGGAGGGGTCAGCTCTTCCTCTGTCTCATGGAAGTGAGGGGCATTCCTTCCTTGGGCAAAAGTGGTTTTGGGGGTCCTGATAAACTCAGAAACAGTGTTTTCTCAGGTTCTGTGGAGGAGGGAAGAGGCCCTGGCAAAGGCGTGATTCTTGGGGTGTTACTCACATTTGAGTATTATGGCTACTTATACATACTGGGCATGGATACGTTCTCTGTCCCCTTGGGTACGTGTCTCTCACCCCATGGGGTCTGTGCCCAGAATGGTGGTATAGCGCCCTATGGGGGACATGTGTGCTCTGGCCAGGCCTTCTCCTTCACTGCCTGCTCAGATAGGCCAGTGGCTCCAGGGTGCTGTGGGGGTAAACCCAGACCCCTCGAAGTCGCCTCCTCTCCAGCAAACCTGTCTCCAAAGGGGTTCCTCAGAGTGCACCTAGACGTCCCTCTGCACTATTGCTCCCACAGTTGCCTGTCAAGGTTCATTCAGCCTCCACCCTTCCTGCCAGGCCCCTGTCTCCGACCCAGGGCTGGTGGCAAGGCAGACTGCTGCACAACATGTGGCACCAGACCGTCACCCCTCACCATGTGTAGCTTCATGTCTGGAGGCTGGAGCAGCCATATTTAACGGGAACTCTGGTGACTTGGACTTGGAGCCCAGGAGGCCTACCTGGTGGATGAGCTCGTTCTGTTTCCCAGGTCCTGGACTCTTCCCCACAATGATGCCATTGTTCTGTTTACACAAAATTTCCATGGAGGGAGGCCTTGCAGCTTGGGGCCTGATGCAGGCACAGGCCTCGGCCTCGGGAGCTGCCGTTTCCTTCTTTCACTGGGCTTCTTTCACTGCCCTTCTTCGATCACACTCCCCAACCTCTAACTCTCTATTTCTGGCCGGCGACCCTAATGCCCTATGTTGCACCCACCTCGGCTGAGCTGACTGCAGTCAGCTGGTTATAGAACCTTTACCAAGGGCCCAGTAGGGAATATTCCAGAGCATCCTTCGAGGGATGCTCCCCTCCCTCTGGAGCAGACCCTCTCTAGACAGAGGCAAAATCAGGAGTACCACATCCACCTCATGTCATCCTGTGTCTCTGTTCCCCACCACTGCAAAATAATGGGGGCACAGATGTCATTACAGAAAAGCACTGTTTTGTGCTCTTTAACTGTGTCCTAAGTGTAACTGTGTGCGGAACAGACAGTTTGTCTCAGAGGCTCTTCCCTGAGGAATGGGAGGCTTTTCCTAAAAATGTTGGGGATCGGAGTGTGAAATGCGTGTGGCTGGGGGAGGTAAGAGTGCCAGCCCCCCTTTCTCACTGTGGTGTTTCTTGTCCTTCCAGACTGGAGGCCGGCACTGAATGTGGCTGCCTTGGACTGTGCTGATGAGACCAACAACAAAGTCTGCAGAGACTTCAACATCCCCGGCTTCCCGACCGTGAGGGTAGGTGACTGGGAGCGGCCGGGAGCGCTGCTCCAGGCCTCCCTGGCATCCACTAGGATCTTATCCATGTGTATCGCTGGCCCTGAAGCTCTGTCCCTTTACCCATTCAGTAAGACACCTTTTGTAAAAGCAGAAAAGACCAACGATTTTGGTCTGGCAAAATCTATCTCTTTTAAGGGAAACAGACTGTGTGGAGGGTGGGAAGGAGGAGCTTTCAGCTGCCCCCTTTTGAGCTGTGTGGTTCTCGTCACTGGGACTGGAGCTCCCAGCTCCAGGGACCTCTTTCCTGAGGAATGGGAGGCTTTTCCTAAAAATGTTGGGGATCAGAGTATGAAATGTGTGTGGCTGGGGGAGGTAAGAGTGCCAGCCCCCCTTTCTCACTATTGTGTTTCTTGTGCTTCCAGACTGGAGTTCCTCCCCCTGCTCACCTAGGGTCTGATACAAACTATAAAGCCAGGGTCCAGGCACCGGTCTATTTGTGGACAGGCGCAGACCCAAGGGCCTAGTAGTCCCCCAGAAAAGGTCTCCAGAAACACTGGCATGCCTCATCAGGGAAGTGCCTTGAGACCAGGAGATTCAGAAGTGACCTGTCAGGGTGGCCTCCCTACAGTCAAAATGCCAGTGCCTCAGGCAGCAGGGATCCCCACCACGGGACTTGTCACACCCAGCACGAGGGCTCCCTCACCCAGCTCTGGCTGGAAGAAGCACAAGTTCTCTGATCCAACCCTGTCTAGCTGCCCACCAAGGGCATCAGCAGCTTACTTAATATCCCAACAACATCCAAGGTGCCTCAAGGAGGAGGCTGGCTAAGCCGAGGAGCAAGGCTGTAGGCTTATACTTAGCACCCCCCTGGGGCTCAGCTCAGCTGTAATACAATTAGTTCTCTTACAAATGAGAGAAGCCAAATCCAAATCTCTCCTACTCTCTACCTCTGGCTATACATAATTAACTTCCTCCCATCTGAGAGAGAAAATGAGAAAAGCAATTTCTTTTGTAGTTGCCAAGAGTAATCAGGAAATGCCTTTGAAAGTTAAAGGTCAAGTATTGTCCCTGGAATAAGATATCTATTTCTGAGTGTGGGGACCTCAAGTCCCAAGCAGAATCATGAGCCATATCTTAGCCAAAAGATGCCAAGAGAATCGCTGTGGAGAGCAAGGCCAGGACACCTCCAAGAATGTCTGGCTTCCTTGACTCCCTATGACCTGTCTGTTCCTCATGCCTGACAAAATCCTGCCAGGTTTCCAGGTTTCCACCCTCTGGTAGACCAACCCTCCTATGCTCTGTTGCTGTTCAAAGTCCTCTAGGTTTAGCTGAGACTAGTCTGGTCTGGAGAAAAGGGTGTGAACAGACAGTTCCACTTAGAGATGGCCACAGAGATACTGCTTACCAATCATCTCTAAAGTAAATGACCTCCCTGGCCTATCCTTGGCCCCAAGATAGGTAACCTATTCGAAATCACTCTACAGAGGAGGATGGGCACTCTGACCCTTTTGCTATCCAGGCCCAGCAGCCTGAGTGGGAAACTGCAGGAAACCAGTGTGGCAGACACAGTGTGTTACGGGCTGGCATTCTTCTGGTGAGGCCTTGGCAGAGTGGTCCAGGCACTATCCAAGCCCCTAAAAAGGGACTGGTGTTGGTACCATGATCAGGTCAGGACATCCTGTTGCATTTTTCTGAGGCATAATCCGTGGGCTTTCTGTTTCTGCTTGGGAGAGGCTAGAGCCCACTGGGCATGAAGGAGGAGGCCCAGCCATAGGGAGACCCAGGGTTCCTCAGCGCTTACCCAAGTCACGCAGCACACACAGCCTGAATGCCTCCCGTGATTAATCATCTCCTTAACCACCCAGCAGACTGTGGGAGGGGAGCTGGGAGGGCCTGAACTGGTCTCCTCGACCTTCCCTGCCTCCACACCCACCAGGCCCATAGTTATCTGTCCATTTCTTAAGAGTTCTAGAGACCAGTGTTGGGACCTCCCTGCCTCTCCCAAGGAACCTGCAGCTCAGTTTCTACAGACGAGGTCCCTAGTGCCAAGTATAGGACTCAAGTGTTTCAAGCAACTGACAAGTCTGGGCCAAGGCCCTGTTCAAGGCTTTCAAACATTTTTCTGTCACCTACAGTGAGGAATATACATCTTACAGTGAGACCAGAAAGTGGTTCATGTCTGTAATCACTAAAACAAAAATTTCTTAAAATAATATTTATTCTTACTAAGTGCTGTATATGCTATTATCTGTTTTTTGTTTTGTTTTGTTTTTTATTACTAGCTATGGGCTGTGATTCACTCAATGGATTTTTACTACTTCACTGCTAAGTTGCTTCTAGTATTTGGGAAAGACTAGAATCAGAGACTCCAGATCTCCAGAGATTTGGCCCATTGAGAGCCTGATGTGCTGTGGACAGCCTGGCGTGACTCCCTAGAAAGTAGAGCAGGCCCTCGAGGTTGCCCTGGTGCCAGCAGGCCCATTAGAGAACCTCCTTGCCCTGTCTGCTGCCCCCTAGGGACCAGAGCCTGTCCTTGTTCTCTCTACCCTTAAAGACTGTGAGGAAGGGCGCTGAGCAGTCAGAAGAGAGAGTGTAGTGTGCTGAAGACACGTCCACACAAGAATCCAGCCATCCCCAGTGACATGTGTCACTACCCCTTTTCTCTGTGCTTGCCCCTTGTCACCTTGAGCAAACAGTGAGCTTCCACCAGTCCAGCCTGTTCAGCAAACACCTGGCCCCACAGGGCGGGCCAGCTGTGTCACTGGCACTGCCCAGCTGGAAGCAAACAAAGGTGTGGGGGAGGAAGGACTAGTTACCAGCAAGTTCTGGCTGATTCTCAGGGACCCAGATGTTGGAACTTCTAGGGGGAGGGCCTTTGCCCCTCAGCAGATAATCCCTTTGGGATTGGAGCCAAGGTTACAGAGAGCAGCAGACGTCAGTGGGAGAGGACAGACGTCTTCCCTTTGCAAGATTCTGAGGAGAAAATTGTCATGGCTCCATTCTTACAGTATGAGCCTTGGAAAGTCACTTCACAACGCCCCAGCCACAGGCCTCAGTTTCCTCGTCTGTAAAAATGGGTTGATTTTATCTACCTAATAAGGTTGTTGGCCGGTGTGAGAGTGCTGAGGCTCTGCGTGGCATCCTCCATGCTCAATAAATGTTAGTCTTCCTTCCCGTTGTGCTGGCTTCTCCTAGTCACCACCTGGGGCTTGTGGCTGCTCCTCTGTGGTCACTACCTTTGAGGGACTCCCTCCAGCTGCAACTATTGAATGACTATTTGCTGATGGCACAGCTCCCTGCTCATCCATGTGGGAGCAGCCTGACCAGAAATGAGAGATGCCAGACAGGAAAGTCCTGTACCCAAGAACACTCAGAACGCACCAGCTGGCTGATGGGCAATGGCGATCTGTGCACCCTTTGTGAAGGGGAGTTTACCTGGACTCACCAAACCTTTCCCTCATGCATGTAGGAGGGGGACTTCTGCTGGGAGTTAAGGGAAGGGGGGGGGTGGAAGATAGTACTGAAGGCAGGGAAGAGTGAGAACAGAGGGCTTGTGGGTGGAATGTGTGGTGTGGTGACAAGACTCATCTGGAAGAGCTGAGACTTGTGTTCAGGGCTGAGCCCTGACTGAGCAAGGGGAAGCCCAGCAATGGCAGGACCTTGAATTCAGGGCTGGGGGTGTCCATTATCTTAGCTCTTCTGACAAGGCAACATGTTAGAGAGGGATAAGACTCCAAGATGTCACTTGCCTCTCTGGAAAAAGATGGGCCCCTCTCAGTGGGCTCACCATTAGATATTTGGAGACTGCATCATTTTCCTTTAAATACTTGGAGTCAGTCATGGTCACCCTTAGAAAGTGTGCTTTTATTCTCTTTTTAAAATAATAACAATAGGAATTATTAAGGACATGATTTGCATTAGCTCTTGTGCTGACAAATACATTATCTTTGCTAACCCTTCTAAGAATTTTGCAGTTTGACCTCATCCCTTAGATGAGAAAACAGAAGGCTTTCTCGCACCCCCATACCTGATGCACATGTTAGCAGGTACAATATTTGCTGTCCATTCAACCTCACATGGGCCTGGGAAGCAGATCCTCTTTGACAGGTCAATAAAAGCCTGCTGGTGTCACCTGGTTTCCTGCCTTTGGAGAGACATGGAGGTTGTCAGGGGTCCCCAAGGTTGGGGAAGCTAAAGGCTTGTGTGCTGGCTGCTGCTGGACAGAGAAACCCCACTGTTGAGGTCTTAGTGGCCTGTTTCCAGGGAGCTGTGGCGGCTTCCCTTGGGTAGGGCACACGCCTCCAACAGCTGGCTTAATAAGGATGCCTGATAGTAAGAGGACAAAAATGTGCCCAGACCAGATTTTAATGTGGTTTTCACATGCGCCTCTGAGATGATCAAAGGACAGAGAGTCTCTGTTCCACGGCACAGAGTCCTCTCTCGAGGCCCTCTATGTCCTAGATACTGGGCTGCAGGGATCAACAACCTGGTCCTGCCCTCTCGTCAGGTAGGGGGGTGGAAGTCCATCTTAGCTGAAGTGTAGAGAGTGGGGGGCCATGGGAGGTAAGTTTGGGGTCAGATCCTGGAAGATCCCAAATGCAGTGTGTTTGGACATTATTCACTGCTAATGGTGGTCACTGAAGAGATTTGTGGAGGAGTGGTATTGTTAGACAAAACTGTGCTTTAGAAAACTCAGCCAGGTGGTAGTGAGGGGGATGGATGAAGAATGGGAAGATGAGGCCTATCATCTGAGCACACGGCGAGAGACAGTGTTGGGACGACTGCAGTACTCCAGGGAGTCATTGAGAGAACCTTCCAGATGAGGAAGCAGGCCTGAAGCACTGTTGAAAGGTAGCACAAAGGTCAGCGTCATGGCACTTGCCAACAGTCTGGGTGGTTGATGGAGGTTTGGGGGCAAAGAGATTCGGGACAGATTACAGACTGAGGGTGACAGGGAGGAGGAGCATCACTGAGTGTGATAAGGAGCAGAGGTGGAGAAACAGGTTGGGGTGACTCAACCTTAAAGAATGTGTTTGGAGTGCCCCATTACCTGTGGAGGGCACCAGAAGGAAACAAGTCTAGGACAGTGAGGACCAAAGATGGAAGATTCAGATTGCAAACCTCTTAGAGTGAAGTAGATGACATTGGCCAGGAAGACAAGAAGTAGATTTGTTTGTTCATTTATTCACTTATCCATGCATTCATTCAGAGGCTCGGCGTCAGCCCCTCTTTGGTGACAGTGCCTCCCAGGGCTTTGTAAATGCCAGTGTTTAAGTGATAAGGTCTGTAGAAGTTGAGGGGAGGAGATGGTGAGGACAGAGTCATGGGAAGGAGCGGAGCTAAGGTGAGGCTAGGACAGGTCGTGGCCTGGTCATCATCAAGGTGATGTGAAGGCGTGAGGGGGAGCATCAGAAAGACACCGCACAGAAAAATGACAAGTCTTGCATCAGGGGATGAAGCAGCGTGATAATGTCAGCTCCCACAGAGGGAGCACAGGGGCCTGAGACAGTCATTGGCTGAGCCAAAGAGAGTTCAGGGGCAGTTTCAGCCGAAGGGGGGGAGCAGCTGCCCCGCCAGCTGGTCACAGGACACAGAGGGAAAGAAGCAAAGGGGGAGAGCAGGTACTGCTTGGAGGTTTCTCCATCTGGGAACAGGACGCTAGTGGCGAGGAGGGAGGAGGCCTTTCTTGTAGTTCTCCCTTGCTGGCCTTTCTTTCTTTTTTTTTTTTTTTAACATATAGATTAGGAGAATCTGAATCTATTTGGAGGCTTAAAAAGGGAGCTGGCAAACGGTGGGGGGAGGGAAGTGCACTGGACTATGGTGATGGGAAACACCATAGGGTGACTTGGTGATGAGAAACACACAGGAATTACAATTGGGATTTTAAAAAATGTACAAAAGGATGTAAAAATGAACTATTATAAAAATAAAAAAAAAGGGGGAGCTGGCAGAGAAGGGGAAGGGTGAAAGGTGAGAGGTTATTGATAAGAAAACATGCCTAAAGAGCATGGGGCTGAGTTCACCAGCACGTAGGAGGTGATTTCGTTCTGCAGGGTGCGTGGGGAGCCTCTGAATGACAGCGCTGAGCCGACTGGAAGTAGGAAACCTTCCCTTTAGCCCATAGGTGTGGGTGTGGAGGGCTCTGGACCCCTGCCAGCCCTGGGTCCTTGGTACTGAGGCTCCTGTGCACCCCAGGCTGCCCGTGCTGGGGCTTTCAGAAGGCTCAGGGAGCAGCTTTTGACAATGGTAGAGCCAGCCCCTTTTAATAAAGGCACCTTTTCAGATTTGGGTGACCTGATGGTTGATGAAGAAAAATCACTTGGCTACTTTTCAGCAACGGAAGGTTATAAGTACAGCTGAGGCAAAGCTATGCTGTGTGAAACCTTGTGGTGTCAGTGGTGTTTTTATGCTGCTAGAAACAGTGCAGCGTCTACGCTGTCATCTTCTAGGTTATTCGTGAGCTAATCAAATCCCAAAGAGGTGCATTTTTAATTCTGTTTAAACATAATGTCAATCCCTAAATGCCTGGACATGTTTTGTCTTACTCAGTCTCATGTCACCATCCAGGAAACTTGTGATCATTTTTACAAGGATTAGGATAACATAATTTTATTGGCTAAACATTTCTTCAGTAACTGCAAAGAACAGTGTTATAAATACATGTGTCACGGCTCTTACCGAGAATAAAAATTTATATTAACTTTAAAGAGAGAAGGGCCCAGGGGCGTCAGAGGGAGCAGGAAAATGTTGCAGGTGGGGGCAGAAGGACAGCAGAATTCTCACTGGGAGGGCGGTGAGTGCCTTCTAGAGTTTAGTGTTCCGCTCGAACAGTGAACTCAAACTGATCCATGTTTCCTAGTGTTTGAAACATGGGAACAAGGAAAGAGGAGGATGATCACAGAGGCCGTATGTATTGATTCTTTTTTTTTTTTTAAGATTTATTTATTTATGCATACAGAACTGGGATACAGGCCAGAGGTGCAGGGTGGTGAGAGGATTCACCAGAGACAGAGTGGGGAGCAGAACAGGCAGATCATGGAAGTACACTGCTGAGGGGAGCAGCGGGCGGGTCAGGAGAGGTCTGCCGCGCCATGTGTGTCAGCTCCCTGGCCAGGGATGGAACTCATGTTGCAGTTCCTATGAACTTAACCCCTTGCACCACCAGGGAGGCCCTGATTCTTTACCTTTTGCACCAAGCACAGGGCTGCACTACTCAGAGGTATTGCCCACTGAGGTAGATGGTGTCATCCTCATTTTAAAGGTGAGAAGTTTGGAGAAGGTAATGGATTGCCTAAGGTGATACAGCAAGGACTGAGCGCAGCATGGTCAGCCTGGGAGAAACCAAATGGCCATTGGTGGCAGAGGCCCAAGGTAGCCATATGGGCCCTGAAGTTAGGGGCCCTTAGGAGGTCTCTTCCCTGGGCGCAGATTCTTCTCGGACAGTTGAGTGTCTCTCTGTGTTGGCCTGGCTCTGCCCATTTCCTGAGCCCTAGGGTACAGGGGCAGCTCTCACCCTGCGGCAGAGCAAGAGCCTGAGGAGTTGAGTTTGGTTCTCTCTGTCCTTTCACCCAGGAAGTCGCAGACTGGACCAAGGTGTCCAGCAAATGAGAGTTCCAATCAATGAGCTAATTGGTCTATCTGTTGTGGACTGGAGACTCCTCCCTTTGTGTTTGTTGAGCCAGGCTGGAAGCTCCTGGTGGACAGAGACCCCAGCTGCTAAACCCAACCCTCTCCGAAGAGAAGGTCAGCTCGCCTCAGCGGGTAGCTAACATTTTCTAGGGCGGGTGGTAGGGGTGTATGAAGTGACTTCATCTATTTCGATTGGTCTGGAAAGAAAAACAGCAGTGGTCTTCATCACTCGCTGTAAATGATGTAAATGTAATCTACAGTATGTAATGAATCCAGTGCTCTCTAGAAACACTCCTCCTCGATCAAGCATAGAAGCAACTGCTTCAGCTACCTGAGAGCTCAGGGCTTTGGGGTCAGGGCTTGGATAGCAGTACCCCCAGGGCACAAACTGCCCTGTACTCATTTCACATGTGAAGAAACAGAGGTTCACAAAAGCAAAGTCATTGCTTAAAGTCACCCCATGTGGTAAGCAGCTGGGTCTTCATCTGCCGACACTGTGACGTGCTCTTCATGTCCACCCGCGACTGACTCTCGCCTCTGTGTTTGCTTCCAGTTCTTTAAGGCCTTTTCCAAGAATGGCTCAGGAGCAACATTGCCAGGTGGGTGTCCTCTGAGCCTTGTCTACGTCTTCTGCTCCCTCCATTCCTGGAGTGAAGATTGCCCAGAGAGGTCTCAGGGCAAGGTGTTTCCCAAAAGAAAGCCTAATTGTGTCTGCCCAACCAGCTTCAAGATGTCTTCAGGAAACCAAGGCTAACGAAGCCTTGTTTGAACACCCTTCAGCCCATCCAGGGTCCTGGGGAGCAGAAGGGTCTCCGTGCTCCCAGTCCCAAGTGTCAGAACAGGGTTGGCATCCAGCTGGGCAGATCAGCAGAGTGCCCGCTGGAGCCCAGGGAGAGGGTCCTTCCTGTCTTCTGAGGGCTGTGACCCCTTGAGTAGCTTAGGGCTGCAGAGTAGCCCCACCCCCACTCCTTAGTGCAGGGGAGGCCCAGGCCTGGGGCCCTCCGTGGGTGGAGCTGACAGGGCCCTGGGCTCATCTTTGCTTCATCTCCTCTGACAGTGGCTGGTGCAGATGTGCAGTCCCTGCGGGAGAGACTCATTGATGCCCTGGAGACCCACACTGACACATGGCCCCCCGCCTGTCCCCCGCTGGAGCCTGCCAGGTAGTTGGGACTGGGGCAGGCTGGGTTCCATTAGGCCAGGATCACAGGCCTGGTGGTAGGGGGCGGTGGGGACAGCAGGCCAGGGGACCTGGGCTGATTCAGTCCCTTTGGGGACAGACACCCTGGGGGGCAGAGCACAGAGCTTCTCTGGAAGAGCAGGTTGTCCAGGCTGTGCCTGAAGGGCCCCTCTTCCCTGTCTGCCTGGCGGGTGCACGGGCCCATCCACCAGGTGGGAAGGGAGAAATGGGTAAGCGTTCGCCAGGGTGTGCCTGCTGCTACCTCTCCTAACCTGTCCTCTGGAGGTTTGGGAATGCGGCGGGATGTCTCAATAGCTCACCAGGGCTGTCCGGGTCACTGAGAGAGCAGGCACCAGGAGGGAAAAAGGGCCTCAAATGCCATTTAGAAGAAAGGGGTGGCGCCGGGGACTGGGAAGAGGAGAGCTTTGCCTGTGAAATGAAGGTGGTCATTTTTCTGAGCAGGGGCTGTGGCTGAGGGTCGGGGTGGGGGAGGAAGAGGTCCTGCATCCCCTAGCTGGAGACGGTCAGGAACAGTAGCTGGTGATCTCTGCCTGCCTGGCCAGCAGGCTTCCAGAACTGCCCCTCTCCAGGAAAACGGGGACAGTGGGGTGCACTGACACTTGCCCCAACTCTCTACAGAAGCAAACAAGTGACTGAAAACACTGAGCCCCACCACTCCTTCTGGGTGAGGCCTCAAGAGAGGATAAAGCCCACTTCCAGGCTTTTTTGTCCCTGAAGGGACAAATTTGGGACGACAAGAGCCTTAGAACCTAGTGAAGGCTGCAAGTGCTGACAAGGCCCCTAAGATTTTGCACTGTTCTTCTTAAAAGGCCTAACTGCTGAGAGGTGCGTTCACTTGGAGTTGAATCCAACTCTGCAGTGATGCCTTTGTCGTCTTCCCTAATTCTCCACCCTCCGGGAGGGCCTCATGGAGAGAAACCTTGGACCAAGGTGTAGAGTTGGTGAGGTTCGGGGTTCCATGACCAGACCCCACATATCTAGAAACACTCCTGCCCATGTGTACCCTGTTCCCCGCTTCTTCCGCTTCTCTGTGACCTTGTCTCTCCCTCACATACATCCTCATCCCTTCTGGTGCATTTTCAACCTGGAGGGATCACAAAAATGACAAGTCAGATACACCTGCCATCCTCTCTCACCTGATCTTTCTGAGGTGCTTTAAGGAGGCAGACATGTGTGGTGGGAGGTGGGGTGCCTCTTGCCCAAGTCTGAGGGTGGGAATGAATTGGGAGGTGTGGGTGCTGTGTACAACTTGCTCTTTTGCCAGCCTCGGGAGGGCTCGTGAAGGTCTGGGAGGTCCCCTTAGGATGCCCCAGAAGCTTTCAGTATCCATGATACCTCTTTTCACCTGCCCCCTAGGGTCCATCCTGGCCCCTCCCACTTCTCTAGAACATTCACTTGTTCTGTCACTGGCCTGGGTTCCCACACTGACCTCATGTGGTGCCTTCTGTTTGGAGGTGGCCACTGCTACATCACCGGATCCGGCCCAGGGAAATGGGTCACCCAGTTGGGGATGAAAGGCTGAGGCTCTTTTCCCAGGTGTCTGCTCTGCTTCTGGTCTCTTCAGCATGTGTGTGGCTGCTGTTGCATTTTCAGTGGCATAAGGAAGCCCACCATTTTGGTGGAAATTCTGAGTTTTTAAAACATTTTGTAATTTAATGGCAAAATTTGCTCTCCTACCAGTTTCATCTTTGTTCTGTGTCTCTGCTTCCCCATTTTACAATAAGAAGGTTGGACGAGGTCTCCTGCAACCAGGACCTTCTAATTTCTTTTCTATACTCACTCCAGCAGAGGAAAAAGCCAGTCTCCCAGTCATTAGTGACTGATTGAAGCTCAAGGCTTGTCTCTGATGAGTTCCAAACATGGGTCTCTTGGGGAGCAGTAATTACCATATTCCAGAAGCCTGGGCCTTTCCCAGAATGAAGAGACAGGGGTCTCAAGGCACCCCTCCCAGGCCTCTGGGCCCCTCTCAGGCCCCCTCTACTCACTGCTGACTCTTGAGGGAGGATGAAGAAGCAAATCAACAACATGAATCAAATGGAGAACCAGGGTCAGGTAACAAAGGCGATGTCCTTTGTGACTAACTAAGGCTTTGGTTTACTCCCACCCGAGAGCTGACAGTGGGAGACTTCAGGAAGCTATTGTGGAAGCAGGTTTGTGTGGCTGTGCTCACAGTGCCTGGGTGGCGCTGTCTGGGGTCAAGGGCAGCTTTGCTTCACTCCCACTGGCTGTGGAGAGATACTGCCAGAGTTGTCTCTTGCAGGTTGGAGGAAATTAATGGATTTTTTGCAAGAAACAATGAAGAGTACCTGGCCCTGATCTTTGAGAAGGAAGGCTCCTATGTGGGGAGAGAGGTAAGCTTCCCAAGGGGTCCCATACATTGCTGACAGCCAGCCAGAGAGCCCAGGGGCTGATGAATTCATAAGGCATCAAGCCTTTTCTTGCAATTTCTCAGCTTGGGACTTAGCCCAGCCCTGGTCTGCCCCCTGCTGGGAGAAACGTGAAGTGTAGGAGCGAATGCATCAAAAGCCTCCCTGTTTTTCTCTCTTATCAAAACCAAATACGTTAACACCAGCTGGTTACTTAAATTTGGACTCCCAGGCTGGCACACATAGTTACTGATCTCCAGTCAACAAAGATGATCAAATAACCCATCCAGGACCAACACACCTGGTGAGTTGGTAGAACAGGGCTTTGAACCAAGTCTCCCTGCCTCTGAAGCCTTTTTTGTTCCCACAGTCACACCCCATAGAATCGCAGTAAAAGGTGTGGGGTGGGAGGGACATCAGAAATCTCTCCCCCACCCCACCCCCCGCCCAGGGAAATGGGGTTCCCTTACCAGTTGATGCAGATACCAGGCAGCTTGGAATTTTACATGCTCCGTGCTTGAAGGTACTGATTTCCCCCCTTATAGGGCGTGATCATTACCTTTGTTCAGAGTGTTGTTGGGAAGTCAAACCCTGCAGTTCATGCCAAGGGGCTAGATTAGAAGCTGGCCCAGGGTGGGTGGGTAGTAAAGATCCAGCTACAGAGTGTTTCCCCCAGACACAAAGGTCTGACACAAAGGTGGGACAAGACAGTGCCTGGGATAAGTTAAGAGGCAGTGGGAGAAGTTAGGATGAAATTAAATATCACTGTTCGCTCTGAATGGTTTTCCTTCTGGAACTCTTCTAGCTCACTGTCTCCAGGCCCCCAGTTCTGAGAGATGAAGCCAGGGAGGTGGGGAGGGAGCAGAAGGCTTTGCTGAAGATGTGCCTGGCTCTTCTAGGTCCCAGTGTTTGTCTGGGGCCAGGCCTGTTACCCAGCAGTGATTGCTTAGTGTTCTGGGGTCAGCTATTTCTTAGTGGCTCCCCCAATGCCTGAGTAACAGGAACAGGGGCTCCAGGTCCATACAGAGGCCCCAGGAATGGTGAGACAGCAGGAGGGCACAGTGGCCAGGAATCCAGGCCCTGGAGCCAGATGGAGTAGGAATTTATAGCCCAGATGCTTGCTAGCTGTGTGGCCTGGACAGGCTTTTGCTTCTAATCCTCAGTTTCTTCACCTACAATAGGAGTTATTTTTATTGATTTGGTATTGGTTTACAATACCCTATGTTTCAGGAACACAGCTTCTCACCTTGATGTATGTCTATACCTCACCACACCCACCACCTCTTATGTACCTTCTATGTGCTGGTCATTGTTATAAATGCTTTTATAAAAGTAACCTGCTTAGTCCCCTTCCCAGCCCTCTAAGTTGGTGGTGGCTGGTACTACAGTCTTGCAAGTAAAGAAACAGTCAGGGAGGGGTGTAGGCTGGTAGGGCAGGGGTCAGCCATAGGGCACCTTCCAAATAATAGTCCCTCTTTCATGGTGTTGTTCTGAAGATTAAACAAAGCAATCTATCTATCTATCTATCTATCTATCTATCTATCTATCTATCTATCTATCTATCTATCTATCTATCTAGCACATAACATACGTGCAATAAGCATTAACTAACACCTTTCCCCTTCTTATTTCTTTCTAAAAATGAGATCTTGTCTGAGTATGCTTCTCTGACTTGGAGTATAGACAGAAAGCCTTATAAACATAGGCATAAAATGAAAACCCATTTCATTTGTGACTTTTATGCCGTTTATGCCTTTTACAAATTGCTTTCATTGGAAAGAAAAGATGGGCGATATCAGATCTGCACAGCTCCGTCCACTTCGGCCGTGTTTGGCCCCTGTTACTCTGGGGCAAATGAACTTGGTGGGAGGAGACTTGATGGTGTTCAGCTGCCACCGGGGTGCCTGTGCCTGCCCAGGGCTCCCCTGCCAGTGGCACGGCCCCCACATGTCTGGCTGTCTCTGCAGGTGATCCTGGATCTGTCCCAGTACCAGGGCATCCCTGTGCGCAGGGTCCTGAACACAGAGGCCGAGGCGGTCAGCAAGTTTGGCGTCACGGACTTTCCATCGTGCTACCTGCTGTTTCGGAATGGCACTGCCTGGCGGGTCCCCGTGTGAGTGTCTCTGTCCTCCGTGTGTTCAGCCTTCTTTCCTACCTAGAGGCTGCCTGCCTTTCACGGTGGCTGGCATGATCTTTTCCCGATGACTCTGTCTGGGGATGCCATGGCACACCGTTCACAGCAGAGGCAGCTGCCTGTCTGTCCGGTGGGACCGTGCCTCTGCAGCCAGACCCTGGACCTAGCCCAGCCCCTGGGCCCCAGCTTGAGTCCTGCCTCAGGCCCGACAGCCCTGTCCCCCAACCCTGGCCCTATTCCCACCCCCCTCTGAGCACAGACTTGTTGGCAGGCTGCAGGGCTGGCAGACGCTCAAATATGCCTGACCCTCCCTCCCTTTGGTTTTCTAATTGCAGAAAAGTTCATTAGGAGCCAGACAATAGCCAGTTCCAAAATGCCAAGAGAAAACAATCAGGCCGGCCTCAGCCCCGCTGTCAGGCTCCTGCTGCTGAATGGCCCATTAAATGGCGCCAGATGGTGCCTTGGTGCCCTCCCTGGGCAGATGATTGATGCCAGCCCGGCCCTGCAGGCAGGAGCTCGAGGGCCGGGGAGACCCAGGCTTGTCTTAGTGTCCAGTGAACTACTCCCCAGGGCCACTAGTGCCATACCGACCAAGGCCAGGCAAGGTGGCCACTGGCCTTTGCCGGGCCTGATCCCCAGCCAGCACTGGGCCAGCCTTGTCAGAGACTTCTCCCGAGGGAGGGAGCACAGTGGCCTCAAGGGGACCAGAGGGGCAGAAAGTGCCAGAAGAGGAGCCATTGTTTCCTTGCTCAGAGTTGGTGGAGGGGAAAATTGTTTGTGACGATGCTGCTTCCTAGCCATCTGCTCATGGATAAACACTGGGCCAGGACAGCGGAGTGGAAAGCAAGGCTTCCCGATGGCAGCTCCCCTGGGTGCCTGTCGCACCGCCGCTGTTCTTCAGCGCTTTCTTCCAGGCGTCCCTGCCCAGGGGACATGTCCTACCTGTGACTTTGTTCCATCAGAAGAGAGAGAAAGCCAAAGGATTACTTAAGGTTTTGAGAATTGGGGTGGTTTCACAATGTTGCTCTCTATATAAATTATAAATGCATCGCTATGTCTATGAATGTCTATAGAAGGGTGTGTCTGTGGATATATACAGATATATATTTTTAATGGCCTACCAAAGCCCCTTGAGTTCCTTGGGGAGCAGTGCTACCACTAGCCTCAGAGCCCCACCATCCCTTTGCACGTTTGGTCTCTGGGCAGGGCCACGCCCCCCTGTCCGGGGCTGAGTCAGCACTGTACCCACGGGCTGCCTGGTCGTCTGGGTGCTCAGAGCAGGGTGAGGAATTTGGGGCCTGGCTCCTTTTTAGATGGCACTTTGGTGTCAGAAAGTTATTCTGCAGCTTGATAGCAAATGAAAAAGCTCTATTTTTGCCTCAATGAGGACCGACTGAACGGAGTTCAGGTAGTTCCCAGTAAACATTCTGTCAGAGGAGCCACCTGCCTCTCCTCCTGCCGTGAAGTAGCATGGGGTAGTGTTGTCCCCCACTCACCGGCGCCCCTGTGGCTCTCTCTCCTCACAGACTGGTGGAGTCCAGGTCCTTCTACACGGCGTACCTGCAGAGGTACTCCACGGGCACCAGGGAGACTCCCCCGACTGCGGCTGTGCCAGTCACCCCTAACACCATCGCTCCCACTGCTTGGAAAGTCGCAGACCGGTAAGGCCGTGTTCCGGCGAGTCTCTCTCTCATAGCAGGCCCCCTTCGTACCACACTCTGTTCCTTGCCATCAGCTTAGCATGTGCCAACCTAGTTCCAGACCCTCTGCGGGCTGGCCTAACCTCTGGGAAAAGCCGTAGCTGTGTTTGGGCAACCCGGGAGCACTAGACTGGACCCACTTCATAATGGAATGAAGACTTTCTAATGTTCACAGACCTGAGCCTGAAATCTGTGCAAGAACAAGCAGAATCAGCTTCAATCTGTGGCTGGAAACCAACTTCCTACACAAGCAATTAGTTCCTCACAAAGGAACTTCATGTGGCACTAATAGGGAAATTTTTAGTAAAGCAGGGAAGGAGGAAGGAGAGACTAAGAGATGGGAGTGGTCATGTCATCATTCAAATTATAATTATTCTCATCACTCAAGTACGGCAGTTGACACTGGCTTTATGTGCCAAGCTCTATGCCAGGCCCCTTCATGCCTTATCTACTTCAGTCCTGAGGCTGCTCCTCAAGGCATGCCAGGAGTTGCTGAGAGATTTGTATTTACGCTTTTATTTAACCTTCTCAGCAGTCTACTTGAGAGAATTTTCTTATCCCCATTTTATAGATGAGGTTCAAAGAAGTTATTTACCTACTGTCACACAGATCACTACTGGCAGAGCCGAGTGCTAACTTCTAGGACACAAGAATAGAGAGGTAAACTGAGGCCCAAAGACCAAGTGGAGCCCAGAAAGGGGACTTGACGTGAGGATAAAGCACAGGTGGTCACAGTGCTCACCATCAGCTGACCTGTTGGCTCCGTACTTCAGAGATGGGGTTGGGGAGCAGAGCCATAGTTCATTTACTTCATTAGGTCCAGCGATGTAGATTGAGTTCCCCAAGCTTCCAGTCCCAACTCACTGCAGAGGTGAAGTCTGGCCTCAGGCCTATGGAGAGGCAGAGGGGAGAGAAGCCAGCACCCCAAGCCCAGACCCTCCTGAGCCTGGAGCCACATCCTTCCCCCAGGGCAATGTGGGATGGGACCTGACCTGCAGCTCAGGTCTGGCAGCTTCCAGGATATAAATAGATAAGTAAATATAAGCACCACTTCCTGTCCTGCCCCTTCCCTGTGCCCAGCCTTGGGCAAAAGCCAAACACTTGGTCTTTGAAAGACTTTCCCAGAGCCATATTGAGTGGGAGTGCCTGTTAGTCTGTTTGCCCCAAATGGTCTTTGCTCAGAGCAGATGAAGCCGGGCCCTGTCCCAGTGTCCTGATTAAGTCACCTTTAGAGAGCCCTGGGAGGGGCTGGCTCTGAGCCTGCAGGGGACCCCCCTTACTCTATGCTGGGAGTTGCTGAGAGATTTATCTTTGTGCTTTTATTTAACCTACTTGTGGGTAATTTGTTTACCCCCATTTTATAGATGAGGTTCAGAGAAGTTAAGTAACTGACCCACTATCACACAGCTCGCTGCTGGCAGAGCCAGGTGCTAACTTCTAGGACACGGCCCTTCGGCGGTGCCCTCCTCTTCCCTCCCTTAGTCCAGAGTGATCCTCCCCAGCCCTACCCTGTGGTTAACCCCCTTTCTTTCTCTGCCTCCCTCTGGGTTCTCAGCTCCAAGATCTACATGGCTGACCTGGAATCTGCACTACACTACATCCTTCGGGTTGAAGTGGGCAAGTTCTCTGTCCTGGAGGGCCAGCGCCTAGTGGCCCTGAAAAGGTTTATGGCAGTGCTGGCCCAGGTGAGCAGGACCCTGGCTCCTCTGTCCATGGGGCCCATCTAGGACCAGTGCATGCATCCCTGTGCAGGCCTGTGCCAGCATGGAGGAGGCAGCCTGGCCCCTCCAGCTCATGGCCTGAAGGGCCTTCTGGACCCACAGAAATACCTGTCCACAGAGCACTGCTGCCCGGTGATATGCCCACTATCAGGGACCCCTCCTCCCACTCTGTGCAGGGGTGGGGTGAACAGATGCCCCAAGGCCCAAGGCTGTTTCCTGCTGATTCTGTGACTGAAGCCTGCTCCCTGAGTCCTCCACTTCATTCTGGGTCCAAGTGTGGCCTCTTATTCATGGGGAAAACAGGATACCATGGATACCACAGCACAGGGGACTTTTCCACATCTCCTCTTTCCATGGCCCATTGTCCCCAAATTGGCCCAGGTGCCTGGCCCAAGCACACTTTTAAAGGCCTTTGTGACTTCCTGGTGAGGTGTACACCCAGTGAAGTGTACCTCCTGCTTTTTGAGGCCAGGAGCACGTCATCAGGAGGTATTTAATCTTCCTATTTCCTCTGCAGAGCGGCAAGTATTTCCCACCATACACCTCCACCCCCAACTTCAGAGGCTTAGAGAGCTCACGTGGCTGGCTGCAGGCCTCAGACCCCAGGCCCAGGAACCACTCTCTCCAGTGCCTGGGTCTCTCCTCTGCCTTGCTGCTTCCTTGTCTCTGAAGCTAGCTATGGCTGCCTCTCCCCTCTCCACCTGCCTTCCTCTCCCTCACTGCATCCATCCCTCTGGTTCCATCCCTCTGGCCTACTTAAAACCCGCAGCAGCTGTGGGCTGCTGAGTCAGGTGTGGGCTCTGCTCCCTGTCAGACCCTGACTGCTGACTCAGCCACTTCAGCCCCTGGTGCCAGGTCTCTCAGCCCGTCCTTCTGGGCACAGGCCTGCTGGCAGCGGGGGCTCCTTCTGGGGCAGTTCTTTGTCTCCCTGGGAGCTGCCTGCCAATCTAGCCCTTCTTCCCCTCTTCTCCAGCCTGCCTGGTGTAGTCACCACTGTGCATGATTATACTGAGAGGGCCCTGTGGGGTGACAGGTGCTGGTCATAGCACAGTTACAGTTGAAGGCAAGACAGGGCCCACAGAGGGAGCCCCTGTTCTTCTGCCCATTCTGATAATAATGGCCTTTCCTTGGACACCCTGCTTGGTCCCCAAGTTGCTGAAGCCTGAAGATGCTGGGCCAGAGTCCGAGAGGAAAGGTCCATGACTGTTGTGTGTGCCATCCTTCTGCCTGGCCTGTGAGGCAGCCAGCCCAGTGTGCTTCCCCAGGGCCCCCCCACCCCAGGCCCAGGCCACTCAGAAGGAATCATCAAAAAGCATTTGCTTTTTGCAGGTTTCTCAAGCCTCTCAGCTGTAATCAAAGCTGGTATTGTTTGGCCCTGCTGTGAGAGAAAGATCCAGTCACCTCCTGAGCTGGGCACCCCCTCTTGGGTGCCTGCCGCACTTCCGCCCTCAGCAAATGCTGGCAATGAGTTTGGGGTGAGGAAGCCCTCCCTGCCAGAAGCTGGGCCACTGAGGGTGCAGGGCTGGAGCTGGGACAGAGCCAGAGGGAATTCAGGCCCCTGCGACAGCTCGAGCAGAGACCCAGTGGCTGCCAGAGCCTGCAGGGGCTGCGGCTTGCCTCTTACTTGGGAAACTTTACAGCGGCGTCTGCATAGCCGCAGCGGGCATGTCCTGTGACTGCAGGGTGCTCTTTCTCTTAGCTTGCTGCTGTTTCTCCTGAACACCACCGATTGCCCAGAGAGGAAGCACGGGTTCAGGGAGGGGAAGCCCCCTGTCCCAGGTCCTCCAGCGGGTGAGTGGCCGAGCTGGGATCTGCATCCTGTGGTATCTCATCTATGCTCTTCCCACTACGTGCCTGGGGTCACCAGAAGCCCAAAGGGTGGGCGATAATGCTTACTCTGCTGCTCAGCCTCGGGGAGCTGTAGGCCCTGGCAGGGCGTGGGCTTGGGGGTCACACTCCACAAGTCCTATGGAGACCCTTCTGGCTGCCCTCCTGAGTCCCAGGGCTCCCTGCTCTGGGCTTCTTCCCATGAGTGGCCGGCAGGACTGGCCACTGGGTGGCGCATGGACACCAGGGTTTCCCCACTCCCTGCGGAGGTGACTCCCTTTCCTCCAGCGCCTCCTAATTCATCCTTTCTCATGACACCACTGCCTTAGCGGGGTCCAAGTCAGGATGGTGGGCAAAGGTAAGGTCAGTGAGAAATGCTGAATTGAAGCCGTAAGCCTTTGTTGAGAGGTAGAGGCGAAGAGGGACCTTGAAAGGCACCGGCTCCGTGGCCATTGGGGGGCGCTGTCCAGCCCAGACGCTTTGATAAGAGGAGGGGATATTTCAAGACAGAAGCGTCTGCAGGTTTTTCTATTCAGCGATCATCCTGTTTCCGCTCTTTTCTCTCCTCAAGCTGCTCCGTGGTGGTTTTCTCTGCCCCGCTGTTGCTGTGTGTTCTTCCCTCTCCCTTTCCCTTGCCCCCACCCCGTGTGTGTCTGCCTGGGCACACACACAAGCACACACACACATGCACACACGCGCATCTGTCCTTCTCCCTGGGGTCCTTGTGGTTTTAAAGTGCTGATACTAATCAGATTTGAGTTGACTTATTGTCAGAGTAGCTTTTCATGTTCCTCAGAGAGGACTGGGAGTTACCATCAAGATGGGGATCTTGGCTATAAGCCCCCAGGCTGCCCTGGCCCCCTGGCAGCTGTGGAATACAAATGAAAAGGCCCTTTGCCCGCCTAGCCCCGTGGTGACTAACTGACCAAGGCAGAGGTTCTGCAAGGACTGGGTGGCCAGCCTACCCAGCAGCCCTGGGTGACCTCAGATGCTCAGCCTGCCTCCCAGTGGCCACAGAAGCAGCAGCCTTCCTCACCCAGCCCTGTGACAGCTCCCTCTCCCCCAGCGTTTTCAGGTGCCCCAGTGCAAGGGTGGGGAGGAAGCCATACTTGGCCCTAGGCAGAATGTTCTCCTGGTGACTTGGGAAGTGCCCTGACCCACTTCCACCTAGAGGGACTCTCGGGGAAAGGGTGTCTGGGGGAATCGTGTTTTACTCTCCACCTTTCACTTGTCCCTTCCACAGTACTTCCCTGGTCAGCCCTTGGTCAAGAACTTCCTGCACTCCACACATGACTGGCTTAGGAGGCAACAGAGAAAGAAAATTCCCTATGAGTTCTTTAAAACTGCCCTGGACAACAGGAAGGAGGTAGGTCTGGGGAGCTCTGAAGATCTCCTGCTGTCCTCTGTATCCGTGGTGGGACGGGAGGGATTAGCCCCTGACCGCTGGCCTTCCTTGGCAACTTGCAGGAAGGAAGATGTCAGAGTCTCCTGCGGGCTTCCCATTAGTTAGGACTAGTCACTTATTTTTTAAAAAGATTTATTTATTTGTGCATACAGAACTGGGGCACAGGCCAGAGGTGTGGGGGTGGGGGGATGTTGATGAGAGGATTCACCAGAGACAGAGTGGGGAGCAGAACAGGCTGACTGATGAAGTACACTGCTGAAGGGAGCAGCGGGCGGGTCAGGAGAGGTCTGCTGCACCATGTGGTCACCTCTGGGGTGGGGATCGAACTCATGCGAAGTGGCTTTAGCTTCTTAGTGCTGAGCTTTAACCTGCTGCACCACCAGGGAGGGCCAGGACTAGTCATTTACTCCTCCCACTAGCTAACTAGTGGAAGGGATGTTGTCCCCAATTCTTGGGTAAAGATACAGAGGCCACTTTGTCTAAGGTCATACAGCCTGCAGTAGCCGGGCTGGGGCTTTAGGTGATGGTGAAAGAGCAGCAGTGGGAGTCTGACTGCTGCTCTCTGTTGCCTCCAAACCCCCTCAGTTGGGCTTCTGGGCCCTCTCCAGAGTCCCTTTCTGGGCTCCTGCTGCGTTTGCAAAGGAAGACCACTTTGTGCCCTGCAGATACCCCAAACCTCACAGAGTGTCAAAACTAGAAGGGAACTCAGAGATCATCCCCATTCTGCAGAGGGGACACAGAGTCTAGACAAGGACGTGGCCTCATCATCCGAGTCCCACGGTTTAGAGCCACCACCCCTTTGATGGAGGGATATGCCACCCCTCAGGCCCCAGGTGAGGGGCTGAGAGGGACCTTATTCATCTGAGCATGTCAAGTGTTGAGTCTTCTGGAAGCTTCTCTCCTGCCTTTCATCCCAGCCCTTTCTCCTCCACTCATGCTGCTGTGTGTCTCTCAGAGTGCTGTGCTTGCCAAGAAGGTGAACTGGGTTGGCTGCCAGGGGAGTGAGCCGCACTTCCGGGGCTTTCCCTGCTCCCTGTGGGTCCTCTTCCACTTCCTGACTGTGCAGGCGGCTCGACAAGATGTAGACCACTCACGGGAGACAGGTGAGTCTGGGGCCATGCACCCCATGCCTTGACCCAGCCCAACCTGCCTTCTGTGGGCGCCCAGCCTAAGGCCAGGATTGGCAGTAGGCACTTAAGACCCGCAGAGCAGAAGGGGGAGGACCTGGAGGGGCCACCAGCCCTGACCACTGCCCTGGGGGTGCCTGGCAAGGAGACCTCAGTGGCCTGAGGCTTAGAACCCCCAGCTTGCTTGTTTTCAGTCTTTTTGAAAAATCTATGCTTCCACCCTTATATTCCTGTGAAGAAAACAACTGTGTCTTTTTCAGAGCTCACATGCTAGTTCATGTACTTTGAATGGTTTTACTGGTTCCTAGTGAAAAATCTTTTTTTTGGGGGGGGGACATGTTATCCTTCCTACCTTGTTCTCTCCCCCAAACCAGGCAAATGCTTTCTGCACCCCACATAGTCTTTCCCCCACGCTAATGACTAGCAGGGCCTCTGGTTCAGTCCTCATTCACTGAGGAGCTGGGTTGCAGCAGGCCCCTGCTTGGCCTGAAAGACAAAGGCCATGATCTCAGAGGACTGACTGAGGATGGGTGGGTGGAGAGGTGTGTGCCAGGCTGGAGCCCTGGGGGAGAGAAGCTGCAGCTGTCAGGAAGGGCAAGCGGAGGTACGCTGAGAGTGGATGGGTGAATAGGAGTGAGCTAGGAGGGAGCGTCCCCACCGAGGCAGACCACAGAGGTAGGGGATGGCCCAGTATCTGTGGCATGTCCCCAGGGGGCCAGCCCAGCTGGAGGGATAGATCCAGTGCTAATTGGGAGGAGAAGTCGCTGCCTTCCAGGGACAGTATTCCAGAGGCAGACTGTGACCACACAGATAGCTTACGTCAGGTGCCATGACAATGCTGAGAGGACAGGACACGGTGGTGTGGGGGACGGGCTGGGAGGGGCGCCATGTGGGTCAGTGTGTCTGTTACAGGGCACCCAGTGTGAACCAGGTCGCCTGTCTGTGGGTCCTCACCTGCTTAAAATTCAGCTGTACTGCAGGCACACACAAAAAGGGTCAATAATGGGTTTATTTACAAAAGGGGAAAGGACAAGGAACAACCCAGGGAAAGAGAGAAAGAGAGAGAGAGATACAACTTAACTAGAGCATCCTACCAGTTCTGCTGCCTTGGAACTCCAGTAACACACTGACAGCCACCAGCCTTGCGGTCCAGAGAGCCACATGGTCCAGAGAGAGCCACATGGTCCAGAGAGAGAGCCCACGTCTCACATCGCTCCCTTAAATCTCCCAGAAGGTCCCAGAAGGTGGCTTAGCTCCACCCTTGGGTCCTTGCAGTTCTCTCCATGGTACTGCTGAGAGTTGTGGTTTACTGGAGTAGGGGGTGGAGTCCACAAAGCTCTGCAGAGTTCTTTCAGGACATCCTCCCCTCTAACATGTTGAGTGGCAGGTGGGAGGGAAGCAGCATGGACACCTAAGAAAAGAACCTTCCAGGATGCATGGATTTGCTGGGGCCACCACAACAAACCCTACTGGCCTACACAGCAGGAATTAATTTTCTTGCAGTTTGGAAAGTCCGAGAACAAAGCTTTGGCAAGGTTGGTCTCTGCTGAGTCCTTTCCCTGGTTTGTGACCTGCTCCCGTGTCTCCATGTGGCCTTCATGCTGTGTGTCTGTGACTAAAGTCTTATGAGGACACCGGTCACAGTGGCTGAGGACCCACTCCAGTGAGCTCATTTTTTTTAACGATTTATTTATTTATTCATATAGA